AACATTCTCCATGAAGTGTAGGTTATGTCCACCAAATTTCAACTTAAAATTCAATCGGGAAGTCAATTAACTTAGATGAATATTTTCCTACACACACACACACAAACACACACACACACACAGAGAGAGAGAGAGAGAGTAATCTTCCGGTCAGGCCTTCCTGAGCGGAACCGCCGTCCGGATGGTGGCGTTTGGGAATTTTTTGATGAAATTTTTATGGCGTGTTCTTCATCAAGTCTAGTTTATCATATAAAAAATCAGCTAAAATTCAATCGGGAACGTTGTTATCTTCCAAAAATTATTTGACGGCCTTCTCATTTGAATTTTTAGCTGAAACTTTTTGTGGATAAACTATACTTGATGAAAAACATGCCATAAACATTTCAACAAACTACAAAACAATCCACCGGAAAGTATCCCAAACGCCGTTGTCCGGACGATGGTTCCGATCACGAATTCCCAACAGGCATATTTCTCTATGTATATAGATACCAGAGTACCACAAGGCTACTACATTCCACCGCCGTTCGTGAATGGGAAGGACGCTGTCATGGGATGGTGTAGAAAGCGCGTCCTACCAATAAATTGACAGATTATTTGACACGATCATCTTTATTGAAGTTCTACCATATAGAAGGAAAATATTTTGGAAAAAACAAAAAGAGATATGAGTAATATATAATAATAAAGTTAGTAAGTAATCATGTGGCTTCTTAGGCTAATCGCAACCCGGCTCATCAATAAATCTAATTTCACTCCAGTTTTATACGTATTTACTTAGTCAATTCAGTTTTTCTCTGCAATCCAGCACCGTCAATATATATATTCACTCAGCACATTTTATTTTTAATTAAATGTTGGAATCTATTAATTTTTTGTTACACATTATTTATGCGACATTTTTATTTTTATCTGTAATTATGATTTTAAAAGTCAAACATTCCGATGTAAAAAAATTAAAAAAAAGTAAATTAATTTTTTTGTAAGTATAAAAGTGCGCACTTGAATTCGATTTGAAATAAATTTCAATAAAATGCACAATATCAATTTGAAGTTTATTTTTTTCATTGCTTCAGACCTATTTTTGAAAACATAAAAAATGGGCAGATTTAAAAAAAATTGAAAATGAAAGATTAAAAACTTAGAAAAAGTTTAGATTAAAAACTTTTCAACCATTGATTTTTTTTAAAATTTATATATGCTACATTGGTGTCAAATGAAAGATGATAAAAAATTATGAATTTTGGTATATTTTTATAAAATTTGGAGTATAAATAAATAAGTTATGATAATTTAAATAAAAAGATGTTTTATTTTAGAAATAATTACATAAATATGACCAAAATAAAGATAATTTGCAAAAACATGATTCATTACTATAATAGTAATGAAATCATAGTAACACATGTTCAAGTTTTGAACTTTAGTTACCACAGCACTACGTTGTAGTAATGAATAGTCATATTTATGTAAATACGTTTTATTTTAGTAATATTCTTGTAAAAAACCCTTTATTTTACAGGTCTCACATGTTGTTGGCTTCCGTGGCTCTTAATTCCATGCTCAATTGGTCATCCGTAAGAGTGAATGAAGGTCTTAGCTATCTCTCCCCAAGGTTTCCTATACCCACGATGGCTCCCCGGCTCCCCCCATATACAATTTTTTGCTTGGGTTGCACTTCATTTGGGGGTGAATACTTTAAATTTGGGGTTTTCACCCCATGGGTTGCGAGCAGCCTTATACTGTTATACTTCATTCATTAGCAAATAAATTATCTCCAATGCTACAATGTGCACAGTGCACATGTGGCATGAGAGATAACCACATAAATATTAAAAAATAAATTATCTTTCTCTTTATTTGAATGATTTTATACAAATTTGATTATTCTTTCTTTACAATCTCAACCACAATGTCAACCTCTAGAGCCCGTTTGGTAACACTAAAATTGGCTGTATTAGCTGATTTTGCTGAAATTTATGAAGTTCTGGCTGAATTGGCTGTATTGGCTAATTATGTTGATTCATTAAAAATTATATTTAAAATATTTTTTATTAATAAATAAAATAAAAAATTATATGAAAAATAGTTAAAATGATCCTCTACAGTAACTTCAGCCAATACAGCCAGAAAAGTAACTACAACCTTACTTTTTCAGCTCATTACATAATTCAGCGTGCAAAATCAAAAGTTACGTGTTTGGTGAAAAAAACTGATTGATAAGCCTGATAAGCCGAAAAAGGGGGTCACCAAACGGGTTCCTAGTGGGTCTTTTTGACATTGTGGAGAAAAACATACGGAGTATCAAACTTGCATAAAATCATTCAAATAAAGAGAGAGATAATTTATTTGCTAATATTTATGTGACTATCTCTCATGTCACATGTGCACTGTATACATTATAGTATTTGAGGCGCTCATAACACAAATTTCGAATTTATCATTTTAACGTCTGAAAATTAAGTGAACTGTCATTAAAAAAATATGAAGATGAAATGTGTCACAGAATTCTAACAAAATTATCAATGTACTACCTATAAGGCTATATTTTCATGGACTTTAATATTTTTATTTTAAAATTTCAAAATATTACGGAGTATTTATCTTTATTAAACTAATAAACTTTTGTGATGAATCATCATAAATATTATCAATAAAATTAATAAAATAATTAAATAAAGAATTGATATCTTAGGTCTTTGATTAGCACATTTCCTCTTTCGGATTTCACATTAATATAAAGGGTATATTACATATTACGTAGTACATACGGAGTATATATTTCCACTTTACAGCAAAGCCGAGCTGATCGGAAGTATGAACGGAATATAAAAAAGTTTAAAGCATCAAATAGGCCTTTGAACTGACTTAAAGTGTTCAATTAGTCCCTTATATAAGAGGTTCTGCCCGGCGGTCGCTAATTGGGGCGGTTCCCGGTGGAATTTTTTTATGAATTTTTTTAGCATCTCCTTGAAGACTTCTTCATTAAGTGTAGTTTACCCAAACCAAGTTTCAACTAAAATTCAACCAGGAAGACGGTCAAATGATTTTCCGAAATGTACTACGTTGTTTAAATGCGCAGTTATTTTAAAAAATCATTTGACTGCCTTCTCGGTTGAATTTTTAGCTGAAATTTGGTATGAGTAATTAGACGTAATGAAGAAGATGCTCAAAAAAATTCATCAAAAAATTTCACCGAGAACCGCCCCAATTGGCGACCGCCGGGGCTATATAAGGGGGCTAATTAAACAATTTAAGTCAGTTCAAGAGCCTATTTGACCCTATAGCCTATAAAAAAAGACGAAATTCACAAAAATAATCTCTACTTTTAGGGATTCTACAATAATAATACTACATCCGTCCCATTTATATTGGGACGGAAGAGAGTGGCACGATTATTAAGAAAAGTGGGTTTGCTTGGTTGATATTAATTGATAAAGTAAGAATAAAGTAGAATGATTTAGAGCCACACAAACTTTGCCAAATATGGTATGCGACAATTTAAGTGGGACTTCCCGAAAAGGTAAAACGGGACAATATAAATGAGACGGAGGGAGTACATACTACGAGTATTCATTAAAATAATCCGAACTAGCAGTAGTGTTCACAAAAACAGATTGAGGAAAATTAAAATTATTTCCCATTTAATTCTCCCAAATATTATCTCTACTTTCTCCTTCACCACTCTTCTTTTCAGATAAAACTTCTATTTTTTTATCCTGGAAAGAACCACATATGGCGAAAATGACATTAAGATTAAACGGGTTATTAGTTATAATTCACTTCGACAAGAAGAGCGGTGAAGGGAAAATGAGAGTAAGGATTAATAGTATTAAACGAGCATTAATTCGAATTCACCCTAATTTTTTCTTGTGGACACTAATGCTAGTCCAGATTATTTTTATAGACACTCACAATAGGGATTATTATTGTAGAATCCCTAAAAGTAAGGATTGTTCTTATCAATTTCGCCTACAAAAATACATTTAAACCAAAATTTTGAAAATGTATTAAAAAAGGGTACAACTTTTCGGTAGCTTTGATGAAAGAAGCAAATGAAGGCCGACCTCTCAGCCTACAATACTGTTTTAAACCCACGGCAGTCAAGATACCGGTAGGGATGTCAAAAAAACCCGACCCACAATGACCCGCCCTGGCCCGAGACATTTGGGGCGGGTCCGCCCTGCCCCGTCTTGCAAATGGGGCGGGTCCGCCCCGCCCCGCCTATACAATGGGGCGGGTTCGGGTATTAGAATTGACCCGTGCCGCCCCGACCCGCCCCGCTCAATATATAAGTATACATATTTTTTCTTAACTTATACTACAAATATACTTCAACATACATATGTGTGTATACAATAAATCATAAATTCTTCGATCTTATAATATATAAATAAGTATATATTAGAATGAGATGGATGGCGGATTATCAATGTCTTCTTTATATATAGAATTTTAATACATTTATTCAATTATTAATATAACTAATTAGATTAACTATTCAAGTTTGAGTAATTTTTCCTTAATTTTTGAAATTTTTAGCGTATCATGAATTTGATTTAATATATTGATTTTTAATAATTATTTAGAGATAAACATTATGTAGATTCAATTGGTAACAACTTCCCACAAATAAAAATACAAACTAGCTAATTAGGTTGCGGCGGGGCGGACCCGCCCTGCCCCACCCCACATGGGGCGGGTCATGGGTCAACAAGTTTGGACCCGTGAAGGTCACGGGGCGGGGCGGACCCACCCCGCCAAGTCACGGGGCGGGTCCAGGTCTTGTAATACCCGCCCCGACCCATTGCCATGCCCAGATACCGGGATACAATCATCACATCCACTAAGGGAGTGTTTGTAACAGATTAAAAAAAGTACTTTTTAGCTTTTAGTTTAAAAAAACATTTATTTGCCAAACACTACCAATTATTACTTTTTCTAAGTTTGTATGTGAAAAATGTTTTTCCCTTTTATATTACACAAAAGGCACTTATTTTATAAAACACTGCCAACTTTTGTTTTTTGCAAATACTCCCTAAAACCTTCATCATTACATACATGAAACACCATCATCATTTTTGTTATTTTTATGAATACGGCACATCGAATACAAAATTCCCCAGAAAAAAAAGTGCCAAATAACAACCAATTACTTCCGAAACCAACCAAGGGGAGGGAAAAAAAGAATAAAATTGAGAACAAATGATACCCTGTGCAGACATAATACATGTGATACCCACAATTTAGTACAAAGGGGTGGGGTAGATACTAGATAAAGCCTTCTTCCTCACAGTAGTGCCAAAGATTCATCTTATAGAATAAACTTACCACATGCATCCTCACATGTGTGCTTCCCATACATTATCTACAAACAGGTTCTTCACTCAAACACATTCAGTGGGTTTCCTCTGGGGGCACTTTGGTCACATCCTTGCTGGATCTATTGTATTTCAAATGACTCTTCACAAGCTGACCAGATGCAATGGCAGACATCAACGAGAGCTCCCCGGCCATGACCGCACCAGCAATGATGGTCGCGAGGAGCCTTGCATTTGACCCAGGCGACTCTTTGCATGCACCTTTCACCCCGAGCAGGTTCAGACACGCCGATTGTGAAGCCAGCTGTGTGCCTCCCCCCACTGTTCCGACCTGCAAATCAAAGTCAAAATTTCTCATTCATGGTTTGTCGAAATGTTAATATGGCTCCACAACCAGTCACGAACTCATGATTCGCTTGAACAAATTTCGTAATACTAATAATAATACTAGCAGCAATAGTATAATCGCTATACTAAATTATACTCCCCAACCATTAAAGCCTTATATGTGTATTTTGGCCTCTGCAAATAACATCTTTTGTTTTATTTAGGCCTTGTATTTTTTCTTATTTATAGCTATAATTTACTACATTTCCTTTTCATTTCCTCTCTGCTAACCCAGTTTAAAGAAAAAAGAGGCATAGCGTTCGAATATAGCTTTTCTATGTCATTTAAAAAAATACCTAATACTTCGTATTTTATTTCCTGACAGGCAGGACATTTAAATTCAAAAGGATGAGTTCGCATAGAAAAAACTTGCCTAATAGTAGTCGATGGGTGGCAGAGAGTAGACATGGAAGGACCATAATGGGGTTATGTGTGCAATGTTATTTATTTTTAAAGAGGTTGATGGAGATAGACTATAAAGAAAACAAGTACATAGAGTGATAGAGGGATGTGTTACAAACAAAAAAATACATGGACCTGTAACAGAAAAATACTCTACCTCCATCCCAATATGAAGTTACTTTTCACTGATAGTAGGGTCAAAGCAACTCTATTTTAACCTACATCTGTAACAAAATTTTATCACACTATGATTTGGTTTTAGAGATTCGCTGGTATTGTTAGTGTGGTTAGTTTATAATGTATCAAAAGTATTAAATATTAATTAGGGGAGATTTAACTTTATTATCAATCCAACACAGGAAACTGAAAGGCACAAGCTTCAATTTTTTACGGAGGGGGTAATAAAAAATGGCCTCATCTAGTCATCGGGATACCTCAATGGAAGGCATGGTGACAGAGATGTGGAGATCCTTCCCTTCATTCACAGCCTCCATCATAGTAATGCAATGGGAACTTTCTATGTTCTGGGCTGGGTCCTGCCCAGTGGCTATGAAAACTGCAGAGACAATATTAGCAGCGTGTGCATTAAATCCACCAAGAGAGCCGGCAATGGCAGAGCCTGTGAGGTTCTTGAGCATGTTAAGCTCTACCAGGGAATGGACACTGGTCTTCAGAACTTTCTTCACCACTTCCTCAGGAATGATTGCCTCACACACAACCGACTTTCCACGCCCTTCGATCCAGTTGACAGCAGCTGGTTTTTTATCAGAGCAAAAATTCCCTACACCAAGAAGTGTATTCTATATAGTCACACAGAGAGGAGCACTTTTATGAAAATTAAATTAAATTAAATTTAGTCGTTCTCACCAGAGATTCCAATGACATCCATGTCAGGGAACTCATTAAGAAGAAAGTCCAGTACATTCTGAACTCCTTTAGACACCATATTCATCCCCATTGCATCCCCCGTGCTGCAGCTAAATCTAATGTAAAGATTCTTCCCCGCAATAGAGCACTTAATGGTTTGAAGTCTAGCAAATCTGCTCGATCTGTATGATGCATGCATAGAAGGGAAATTAAGTGTCATTAGAATGATAATACCAACGATGGCGAAATTATCCTATATTCATGTGAAAGAAATTCATAAAGTCAGATCTCATTTTCGGCTTTCAATGTCTTTAATTAAAATTTCAATCCACTAATAAATTTAAGATGCCAGCACCCAAGCCTCTTATTGTGATCACAACTAGAGAAAGATTCTGTTGTCTTTGGAAGTCATGGTCAACTAGACAAACAACAATCCTCCCGAAATACAACCACTAATGTGTTAGCAGGCATCACAAGCGGTAGTCTGACACTTTAACTAGAATTAAGCCTATTATAAGGTTGTAATGAGAAGAGGTAGAAAGTCTACACATTAACTTGGAAACACTGAAACAGTCAAGAAAATATTCCTCTTAACTGCCAAGGAAAAAGAGTGATGCAGCCCTGAATGGATTCTTTTATATGGTTGTTCTAAAGGGATATATTCAAAGTTCTAACAGGACTACATCTATTGTGTGTATAGTTGTGAAGGAAAAGAAAGAAAGAAAGAAAGAAAGAAATTGAAACAAATAAATCAGAGCAATAATGGAGAAAGATTTTGTTCATAACTGTATGAATAAAGGTGTTACTGTGTTACAAATTTAGTCTCATTCTGGAGAAAATTCCTTTATCCAAAATAACTCTATTTTGAATATAGCAAAGAGAAAATAAATTTACTTATTTTCCCCTAGTACTTAATAACAATACATCTATAAGCAAGTAACTAAAGAGGGACAATCTAGTACTATTATAATATCTTCACATTAGATTGTTGAAAGAAATCCATCTACAGAAAATTAAAGCAACAAATAATTACAGTAGTTTACCACGGAGTATATTTTTTTTGTCAGCAACACATTATTGGCAAAGTTCCATGCAAAGCATGACCAAAAGAAGTGCCAGTCTGTGTTCAACAATATGGAAATCGTAAAGCAGAAACTGGAATGGACACTTTCCAGAAATTCCTCATATGCCTACTACTACACCATGCACGGAATGCTGACTATGACTATACTTTTATAAATACCTTTTGAATAAAATGCCGTTTTTCCCTTAAAAAAAAATCAAGTCCAAGATTCATCATCATATGACCTAGCAAAACTTTCCCAACCACCGCATAGTAGCATTAATGGATAGAGAGATCTGATTGAAAATTACCTAGAAAGTACTATTGCACAGTCAAAACGGAAGATTTTGATGACACGCAAAACTGCCTAGTGCCAAAACATAGTGCTGCTGCTGCTTCACTATGTTTTCATCATAGAATAATAACACAGATAGAGAGACAGTAAAGATAAAAGTCACAACAATGGATAATTTGAGTGGGGTGGGAGGGAGCTAAGGGACTCACTTGTTAAAAACCATCGCCAAGGTCTCAAAATTGAGAGGATCCTCCAAGAAAAACTTCAAATCTGCCGCCCTCCTAGCCGACTGGAACCTCACAACAGGGGCTCTAGTCATCCCATCTCTGAGAAGAACACAAGTAGCTCCCCCAGAAACATAGATGGCTTTGCAGCCTCTGTTTGTACTTGCAACCAAACAGCCTTCCGTCGTCGCCATGGGTACCGTGTATTCACAACCGTTGAGCAACAGCGGCCCCGCAATCCCCACCGGGATCTGCACATATCCCACCGGCATTTCACAGCACTGCCCCAAAATTGAACCGTAGTCGAACCCTTCCAGAGGCAGGCCGGAAAGGGACCTCCCCGTGAGTCTCTGGACTGCTTCCCGGCGAACGAAAGCTGCCTTGTGACAATCCCCAAGCCTGGATTCCAGCGAATACGATGGAATTTCGCCGGAGACAACCTTTTGCACGAGCTCCTCCTCCTCTTCCGAGGAAAGAGGATCCTGGTGAAGATCCATCACTTTATTAGATACAGAAGTGGGGGTGGGAACGACGCAATCAAGGGAGGCTGGGCAAGGCCCACGGTGGCGATCCTCATCTATGATGAAGCGGGGCTCATCATCGCCCTCGACGTCCCAGGAATCGGGAGAGGCGCGGGCAATAAACGACTGGACGAAGTCAATTCCGAAGAAGCCGAGGAGATAGATGAAGGAGGCGATGAGGGAGACAATGGCGGCGAGTTCGGAGAGAGTGACGACGTGGAGGGGCGTCGAGTTTCGGATCTTGTCACGCCATCGGTGAAGGAGGTAGTATGCGACGGAGAAGAAGAGGGTGAAGAAAATGCCATTGGTGAGGTATAGAGGGAGCGGAAGGGCATCGGAGGCCTTCGGGGTAGGAGAAGGAGAACGATCGACGACCGCCGAAGCCTTCCGCTGGAGGTGATGGTGGTGGTGAACAGCGGGTTTGGGAGGTCTCCGGCGGATATCCATGAGGGAATATTCCGGCCGAGAGGGAGAGACAAATGACGGAAAAGCAGAGGCTGAGCGAGCGGCTCTGGTTCCGTCCTCCTTTCTCAAGGAAAAACGAAAGGCTCAGTTGAGAAGGGAGTGGAGGAGCGGCGAAGTAGGAATCATACAAACACTATTTATATTATACAAAAAGCGAATTCAAAAGCGATTTTGTATTTAGCTGTAAAATTCGTGGAAAATGCATTTCCCCTAATTGGTTGAAGGCGTGACTCGTGACCCCTCAAATTACCAAAATCCATATTCGAGATAATCTCAATGAGATCAAATCAAACCAGCTTAGACTTAAATAAATCAAACTGGTTATCATAGTTACAAAATATAAAGCAATCATACATTTGTCAAAGAGAAATGCTAGAGGTACACACTTTGTGTACACATTTTGTGTACACTCGTCTGTCTCTTAAGAAAATTTTGTCTGTCACAGACAACTCATAAATGAATTGTCTGTGACAGACAAAATTTTCTTAAGAGACAGACGAGTGTACACAAAGTGTGTACACAAAGTGTGTACCTCAAGCATTTTTGTTTGTCAAATTAGATAATTTAAACAAATCAGACTAACAAATTTTACTCCAAATAAAAACATCCTAACACACAAAAATGCCACTTTTAATGTATCGAATTCATAATTATTTAAAAATTAAAACCCATCATTCAATACAAAATTATGATAAGTCTCATTCCCGTTAATTGTGTACCATATACGTATGATGAACTTACTTTTTACTACCTCTGTCCCCCTAAGTTTGGGACAAGAGAAGGTGACACGTTTATTAATAAAAGTGAATTTATGTGGTTGATATTGAATTGATAAAGTAAGAATAAAGTAGGAATGATTTAAAACCACACAAATTTTATCAAATAAGGTATGAGACAATCTTTGTGGGACGGACCGAAAAGGTAAAATGGGACAATCATAGCGGGACGGAGGGAGTAGCTTAGAGCATCTTAAATGCAAGTGTGTAGTCTATTACACACCCTTACGCATGGGTCCGGTTATTTCTCACAATTTTTGTGTGTGGGACCCACATATTTCCTTATTTATTTCCATTTTCATTTTTTATATCACTTTTCATCAACTTTTCCTTCTCAAATCCCGTGTAAGGTCCATTTATAGACCTTGTCATAGACTTAGGTCTACTTTTTATCTCTACCTCTCTCTTTTTTCACTTTCTCCCACACACCACTTTATTCAAATATTCATTTCATCACTATTTCTCTCTTATGCCACATCACTACAATCCACCCTCTCATTAGAGCATCTTCAATGCTTTGGGTGCAATGGAGGTGAAGTGACATCAAAATGAAAATAATCTATTGAGCATGGAGGCCGAAATAAACAAATGGGAGAGGGTCTATTTTTATCTTACTCCGGTGGAGGACCGCAAAGCAAAATGGAAGATAATTATTACAATTTTAATTTGGTGAGGTGAGACCTAAGCTCTACAAATGGAACTTGGGCAAGATTTTGATCTTCTCTCTCCCTTGTCATGTCAACTTGACTCTCCATTTATTGATTCAAAAAAGTGGAATCTCCCACTCCAGGATCCCCACCCTGACCCGACAGGATGGTGGGGGACTCTCTCCATTTATTTTTGCATTGGAGAGTACATTTGTTAAACAATGATGCATTTGGTGAGCGGGAAAGCTTTTTTAGTGCAATTCACCTCTCCATTGGAGATGCCCTTAGGCTATAACCTATAATCTAATTTTATTGGTAAGATACCATCCCTCCGGATTAAACTCAACTTTAGTGTGCAGAAAAAACTTCTCATCCCAAATAAATCAATTAATAAGAGAATACTACTTAGGTGGTGTTTGATAACACCATTTTTCTCCAACTGGAAACACTGCCAAATGCAGCGTTTTGCCCCCCCCCCCCCCCCCCCCCACCCCACTCATTTAAATACAAATAGGTCCTTAGGTAGAGAGAATTTGTAGAAAATTAACAACGGGATGGATCATAATTTTGCATTGAATCCTGAAAATATTACTACTTTTAAATAATTGTGTATGCAACGGTCTATTTTATCACAATCTCATAAGTGTTGGATTTTTATACGGAATACATAATAAGACTATTATTTTGTAACAAGACTATCTAAATAATCTTGGAATGCTCACATTATAAACAAAAGTTATTATTGCGTAATTTGATTACATTAAAAGCATGTTTCGTAATACTGAAATTGGCTTAATCGCCTGAAACTGTTGAAATTATGATTGAAGCGGTGGCATCTGCCGAGTTATGGGAAAATTATAATTAAAATATATTTTACTAATACAATAAAGAAAAGAAAAGAAAACTAAAATGATTCTCTATAGTAACTATAATCTTACTTATTTAGTCAATTTAGTTAGAAAAGTAATTATAACTTTAATTATTTTTAATATTACATCATTCACATCATGAAATTAAAAGTTACGTGTTGAATAAAGAAGAATGATTGGTAAAACTGAAAGTGATTGCTATCAAGCTGGTGTATGGGTGATCATTCTATTTTTGAGAAAAAATGACTAATAGTAAAATAATTGAATCCAACCAAACAACAAAAGACAAGACACAAGAGACAAGAGACAAACAAGAACGACCAGAACACGTTATTTGATCATACGTCCTAGGACCAGACTCAGACCATATTACTCACTTAGGAGCAGTATGATTCGCAAATCCCCACTTGCACAATTGTAAGTCAATCATGATTGACCATATATTCTTGTCACTTATCCTATGTTGTACTTGCCACATACAAAACAAACATGCCAAGAGTCACCCCGGGTAAACATAACCCGACAGATATATGTTACGGTTAGGGCGCGCGCACACACACACACACACAAAACTAAAAAACTAGAAAAGAATGAGAAGAACGACAAGAATTTAACGTGGTTTAGCCAGTAGATGTTACTGACCTAATCCACATGGGCAAATAGGGTTTTCTTTCTTATTGAGATGATGAATGATACAATCAATAGTTTACAAGTACATGAGTCAATATATATAGGCTAACAATTACGGTAAACACTTAATTAACTTATGGGCCTGACTGCCACCAAAGAAACAGGCCCAACTAGGCTGGCTCCACATTTAATTAGGGTCGGCTGCTGCTCTTTGAAGCCTACAACCCAACAATCTCCCGGTTGGAGGTTTCAAAACACGATTAACTGCACTCCACTCCTCTGTACTTTAGTAAACTTCATTTGTAGTTTGGACCATCCTAGTTCCCACATGCCTTCTGAACATTACTCTTGAAGGCCAGCTGAAGTTACACAGAACTTCAGCTTGTCCAGCGTCGTAGATTTAGTGAACATATCTGCTGGATTCTTTGCACCTGGGATGTTCTTCAAGTTCATCGTTCCTCCACTGATCAACCCTCTAACAAAGTGATATCTCATCCCAATTTGCTTCGTTTTCCCATGATAGACTGGATTCTTGGCAAGTTTCACTGCACTCTCATTATCATAGTGTAACGAGTAATTTGTTTGCTTTTTGTCTAACTGTTCAAGGAAATTCCTCAATCAAACCAGCTCTTTACTGGCTTCAGCAACTGTCATGTCCTCTGCTTCGGATGTTGAAAGAGCGACACTTTTCTGAAGTTTGGACATCCAGCTCACTGCAGTTCCTCCCACTGTGAAAATGTAACCCGTAGTGCTTTTAAATGTCTCTTTGCATCCACCCAAATCAGCATCAGAATACCCTCTCAAAATCATGTCTTTACCTCTGAAACATAACCCCATCTTTGTAGTACCCTTCAAATACCTAAGTATCCATTTGACTGCTTCCCAATGTTCTCTCCCCGGTTTTGACATGAAGCAACTAACAACCCCGACTGCATGAGCAATATTTGGTCTCGTGCACATCATAGCATACATGAGGCTACCAAATGCAGACACAAAAGGAACTTTAGCCATTTCTGCTTTCTCTTCATCTGTTCTCGGAGATTGGTCTTTGGTAAGCTTGAAGTGACTTCCCAGAGGCATGTTTCTCGGTTTAGTCTTCTCATCATTCATATTGAATTTCTCCAACACTTTCCCAATGTGCTTCTCTTGGGATAGTGTTAAAGAACCATTCTCTTTGTTTTTTACTATGCTCGTCCCGAGTATCTGTTTGGCTGGACCCAAATCTTCTTTTCAGCTTTTTGAGACATTTGTTTCTTTAACCCGTTGATCTCTTTCATATATGCACCAGCTATCAACATATCATCTACATCGAGAAGTAGAATGATATATGAACTCTTGAACCTCTTCACATAACACCAATGGTCCATCTCACATCTTTTGTACCCTGTCTTTATCATGAAATTATCAAACTTCAGATACCACTATCTCGAAGCTTAGCTTGTTTCAGACCATATAAGCTCTGTTTTAGTTTGCAGACCATATTTTCTTTAACAGCAACCTGAAATCCTTCAGGTTGTGTCATGTAGATATTCTTATCAAGATCGCCATGTAGAAATGTTGTCTTAACATCTGGTTGCTCTAGACGTAAGCCCTCTGTAGCTGCAATGCTTAGAACCAATCTGATGGTGGTCATTTTGACCACCGGACAAAAAAAACGCATTATAATTCACTCCGTTTTTCTGCTGAAAGCCTTTCACCACTAAACGGGCTTTGTACTGTTTTGACCCATCAGGTTCATCCTTGATTTTGAATACCCATTTATTTTGAAGTGCCTTCTTGCCTGGCGGAAGCTTAGTAAGAACCCATGTCTTGTTATTGTGTAAAGCACCCATTTTTTCCTTCATAGCCTGCTCCCACTGAAACGAATCAGTTTGTTTTACTGCTTCGAGGTAACTTTCTGGTTCTCCGTTTTCAGTCAAAAGAAGGTAATTGACCGATGGGCTGAATCTTTGTGGAGGTTTAATGACTCTAGTGGATCTCCTGACCCACTTTGTTTCAACTGGCTGCGACTGCACAAGTGAAGGTGCTCCTTCATCTTCTGAATTGCCACAATCAATAGTCTCCTTGATCATCCTCAAGTTCGTCAGTACTAGAATCATTCTTCGTGTTCCCACTTCCCTGAGTATCTTCAAACTCTCTGTTTGTGATGACATCATTTTGAAACTCAACCTGCTCTTTGTGAATCTTTAAATTTTAGGTGCTTCT